GGGCAGTGGGCGGCGGCGCGGGTGGGGAGCGGGCGGGGACCGACACCGGGAGCCGGGTTTGTCCCTGCTCCAGCCACTTGTTGCTTTGCCAAATCCTTGGGCCCGAGACTGCCATTTGGACCCACACAAGGGAATTAAAACAAAAAGAATATGAGGCTCCTGGCAATGGTGGGGTGCGCATTGGCCCCTTTTCCCTGCATGTAGGCAGGTGGGGGAGACGGGCCCGTCCTTAGGGCTTCCAAGGTTGGCCCGAAGACTCCAAAGCAGACGAGAGCCAGGAATTGGGTCAGAAAGAAAAAGCTTCAGTGGTTTTAATTATTTTAAATGGAAAAGCCACATCCAAAAGTACCAATAATGACTTTTACAGTAGTCCCACTATGTTGACATAAACCAGCCCACCCCTGAACGCGCGGAAGACCGTAGCACAAACTGAGAGGGGTATTGCAGGGCTGGGGCCAAATCAGGACAGGCAAGCGTGCTTTCCGTCAGGGTCTTACTCTTCTGGCTTCCCGGTTTGGGCAGATTTCACCCTGTTAACAGAGTCCGTGGATCGGTCTCTCTCTCTCCTCTTTCTCTAGCTCTCTACCTCTCTCTTTCTACCTCGTGTTTCATTCCTCTGAAACAAATCCAGGGAGCAGATGGCCTCAGAAGGATATCTAATCCATGCTCGGCCTTGAGGCACTTACTATAAGCTGTGATACCGTGGTAAGGTGTTATTATAGGGACAAAAATATCTCAGACTGCAGGATCTAGCCATCCTATTCTTAACGTTCCCTAGGGAAAGATGTTGTACAATATTCTTTGATAACCTACTACAAATGCTAACTGCTTTAAGTACAATATAAGAACCTTCTGATCTGTGTTTTGTTTGTTTCTATTTAAACTCATTCAGGGTCAGGCTACCCCAGAGTGCAGTTAAACACCTGTCCGGTGGCTTATGGGAATGGCTTGCACAATGCGCACTTCTCCCCACCACAATCAGTGTGTCTGCTGACACTAGAGACCATGCCTGGGACATAGGTACAATTAGGCTTTGCCAGGGCAGCTCTGAGAAAGTGGTCCACTCTGAGTCAGATCCTTGCCAGCTGACTTGCTTTTAGAGAGCAGGCTTTGTGCACCTACCAGTGTTAAAATACACTACCGTACCTAATTATGTTTCTACAAATTTGATACAGTATTTGATTTTTAAATGTACCATACTCTTGAGTTTCTGACCAATACAGGGTTAGAAGGATGTCATGAGGATGTGCATTTAGTCTGAATCCACAAATATGTATTGTGCTCTCAGTGCCAGGCCTGGGCTTAAGTACTGGGGATGCATCCTTGCAGCAGAGAATTTGCAGAATGAAATGGAACCCTGAAGAAAGGAAATGAAAAGAAATCGGGCCGGGCGCGGTGGCTCACGCCTGTAATCCCAACACTTTGGGAGGCCGAGGCAGGTGGATCACAAGGTCAAGAGATCGAGACCATCCTGGTCAACATGGTGAAACCCCGCTTCTACTAAAAATACGAAAAAATTAGCTGGGCACGGTGGCGCGTGCCTATAATCCCAGCTCCTCAGTAGGCTGAGACAGGAGAATTGCCTGAACCCAGGTGGCGGAGGTTGAGGTGAGCCGAGATCGTGCCATTGCACTCCAGCCTGGGTAACAAGAGCGAAACTCCGTGTCAAAAAAAAAAAAAAAAAAAAAAGAAAGAAAAGAAATCACCGTGTTTCCGTAGTCACCTCCCCTACACTAGTTGCCTATTCCAGGCGTCCCCAAACTACGGCCTGCGGGCCGCATGCGGCCCCCTGAGGCCATTTATCTGGCCTCCGCTGCACTTCAGGAAGGGGCACCTCTTTCACTGGTGGTCAGTGAGAGGAGCACAGTATGTGGCGGCTCTCCAACGGTCTGAGGGACAGTGAACTGGCCCCCTGTGTAAAAAGTTTGGGGACGCCTGGCCTATTATCTCTTAATCGGCTCCCTCAAATTCCTGCCTCTAGGACCTTCATTCTCTCTGATTTCTTTGATCATGGAGCAATAATATCACCACATTTTGAATACTGTTAAATAATACGATGTGTTAGGAAAAGTCGTGCACTAGGAATGAAAACAACTGTATACCAACTTCATCCCTGGCCCTGCCACTTGACAAAATCCATAACTTTCTACAAACCTTTAAGACCTGAATATTGGTATCTTAGGTTCCTTATCCCTAGAATGGAATAAGGAGTCTTACTTGGCAACTCCACAGGTTCAAGATTCCAGGCCTCAGTTTTCTCATCTGTAAATTGAGGGGTTTGACCTAGATTTACAGCTTGCAAATTTTCTTTACAAGTGGATTCCCCTTTTATAACAAAAGCCAACATAAAACCCCAACATATAAAACAGTTAAAGACAGACTTGTTTTAATGGCCCTGAGGGAGAAGTCTCTGAGTCCTATATACTCTCTTCTGTACCTTTCAAAGGCCTTGAGGCATCTGTGCAGAACCCTAGGGTTTAACTGAACACAGTTTGAAACTCACTGTGCTAGGTGATTGTTTTAAAGGACCTTCCATTTTTAAAATTCTATACATCAAAATTTCCTAACATCATATGTTTCTATGATGAGATTTAACATCATATATTTCTATAATGGGATTTTCTTTCTTCATTTAATCATGTTATAGGAGATAGTCACCAGCTAAAAGCAAAATATCTTTCATTATTCCCTCCCTGTTTGTAAAGCCAATCTCTCTGCCACAAGGGAGGAAAAAGATTTTGATGGAACACATATGGTGTAATGGGAAAAACAACACTATGGGGATGAGAAGATATTAGTTCTAACCCTGGTCCTGCTTTTAACTAGTTCTATAACTAGTTAGCTTGATCAAGGAATCTTATTCACCTGTCTAAATACAGAAAATTAGGAGGTTGGGAGACGGTGAATGCACGTGAACATTGCGGGAGCCTGTGCCCTCATAGGTTTCCTTAAATTAAATAACTCCATTCCTACTCAACCTATAGGCTGACTTGCTTCACCCCCCTTTCTCCGGTATATATCCTCACCCCATTTAGGGAGGGAGTAAAAGGTGAGGAGACAAATTAGGTTGTAAATGACACCACCAGGACATCAAAATATCAGTCATTGGTGTGTTTGTACAGATGTTTCAAGCCCACAGCACGCCTTGACCCCAGCTCACCACGCAGGAGCCACATCTCCCTTAAGACAGGGTTTATGCAGTATACACGTTCATAAGGGCAAACTACGAAATCTTAAAAACCCCAGAGTCTGGAGAATGTTTAAAAGAAACAGTCTGGGTTAAGGACGCAGGACCTGGGCTTGAACCAAAAGGAGTGATCCCATGAAGGACAAACAGCATGATTCACTGCCTCCAAGTGTGCACATCCTGGGAAAAGGCGACTCTAGGGGTGGACACAAGAAAAACAGCTCCAGTCATGGCTGTGACTTGGTTATAAGTTAACTTTATGGGTCACTGAGTGTCTGGAAACAGACTATAAACAGAAGAAAGGGTGGTCCAGGCAGCTTTGTGTTGGAAATGACTGTGACCAGTGGCTTCTGGAAGGGAGATGTATTGACTGCAATAAAACTTGATAGGCTCAGCACTTGTCTGTTAAGGCTGGAATCGGAAGTCAACGTTGGACCTGAGTAATTGGTATAAATTTGTGTTTAAGGGCAGGACAGAAGATATTTTATTCTAAGTGGTAAACAATATGGTGTCCAACTGCTACATATGATCTGCCTTCTCTCTGGCCTCTAACCCCATGAGACTATCTACATCATCTGGACTAATCCTAATAGCCATGCAAGTGGGTACAGTTTGACTCTCACCATACTGGATTTTTTTCTTAATCTTTGCTGTCTTGGGAACAGCAGAACATTTAAGGTAAAAAGAAATAAACACACCATAGATACTTGCTATTCTTACCTATGTCTGTTCTTGGGAAAACAAATTGTACACAATGTTAACTTCTAGCCAATCATCATCTCTATCTTTACTATCATTTGGTTAGCTGACAATTATTATTATGATTATTATTTTGAGACAGTCTTGCTCTGTCGCCAGGCCGGAGTGCAGTGATGCAATCTTGGCTCACTGCAACCTCCATCCCCTGGGTTCAAAGTGATTCTCCTGCCTCAGCCTCCCAAGTAGCTGGGACTACAGGCGCATGCCACCACACCCAGCTATATTTTTGTATTTTTAGTAGAGATGGGGTTTCACCATGTTGGCTGGGATGATCTCGATCTCTTGACTTCGTGATCTGCCCACCTCAGCCTCCCAAAATGCTGGGATTACAGGCATGAGCCATCACATCCAGCGCGGCAATTATTTGTTAAGCACACACTTGCACATATTCAGTGTTACAGAATCCAAAGTTGTAGGCAGTAAATATGTAAAAAGATTATGCCAGAAATACTTTAAAAATACACATCATGTTTAGTACTTAATATTTTTCAAGCTTGGTGGTGGGAAGTGCGGGGGGGGTGCATATTAAGTTTCAGTCAGTGTATGATGGAGAAAAGCCTTGAGCTGAGTTTCAGAGGCCAAGAAACTAATTTTAAACATCATTAACTATAGCTGTGTGGCAGCTGAACAGAACATCACATCTCTGAGGCTCAGTTTTTTCATCTGAACAACAAGGGAGGTTGAACCAGGTCATAGTCCATATCAAAAAACTTAACAATAATAGTAGCCAGTATTTTTTGAGACAAGCGCTTTATCAGTTACTCCTCATAAGACCCCTATGATGTATGCATTATTATTTTCCCCATTTTTCAGATAAGGAAACTGGGTTTTGAAACTTAACCAAGGTCACACAGTAAGTGGCAAATCTGACATTTGAACCTAGTCTTTCCCAACTCCCAAGTTACACTCAACTGTTTCACAATCCTGAACTGCCTCAGAGTTTATCTAGGAAGAAGTTTTGTTTGTTTTTTTTTCCACTTATGCAGATTTTGACCTTGACTCCCTTAGAGCTGCAAATAGAAATCATCCCTTCATTGGCTAGCACGATGCGATCTTCAGAGACTCTCCTATATGTGGCTGCTGAAGCAAAAGAAAAAGAAGGTGGAAACTGCTAACTGGAGGGGAAGGAGGTCGCTTCAGGGAACAGTGTACCCACTCCTATGAGGACTGAGTAGGAGACTAGGCTTTTGCTTAGTGACTGTACCCCAGAATTCAAGATCCACAAAGGAACAGGCACCCAGAAACGACAAGGTAGGAGGGACAAGGGGAAACCAATGATGCCTGGCCAAGACCTTTCTGTCACTTCTTCTCACAGACCCCTTAGACCAGGCGTCCCCAAACTTTTTACACAGGGGGCCAGTTTACTGTCCCTCAGACTGATGGAGGGCTGCCACATACTGTGCTCCTCTCACTGACCACCAATGAGAGAGGTGCCCCTTCCTGAAGTGCGGCGGGGGGTAGGATAAATGGCCTCAGGGGGTCGCATGCGGCCCTTGGGCCGTAGTTTGGGGACTCCCGCCTTAGACCAAACCTGGCCTCTAAATTTCCCATAGCTGTTCAGTCAACACAGGGCCAGGTATGTACCTGAATATAGCTAGTAAATAGCAGCTGAACACCAGCTTAGGAAGCTGGGGTGTCCAGAACAGTGAATGAGGTGGCCCTATTTGATTTCTGGTCCCCTACACCTGATGTCACTGCTGCTGCATGGATGCCTGCAGAGTGCTCACGAGCTTCATCAGACAAAACACTACATAGGGCTTATGTGCTGAGTGACCAGAGACTCGAAGCCTCTGGAATGAAAGGATCCCATTGATGCAAATAGAATCTAAAGATCATATCTCCACGGATACTCTGTAGCCATACACCTAAGGGAATCTTTTGGCTTCCACAAAAAAATACAACTTTATACTGAGAGGGACAGTGATGAGCCAAAGATGGATTACACAGAGTCCCTGCTCTTTGGAAAACTCAGTGTCTCTTGGGGTACACCAGGGTACCCCTTTGGGACCCCTTGGGTTAGTCTAGTTATCCCAAGACGAGAAAAAAACTACACGAGAGATACCTATGACTATTTTGTAAAAATACACAAGTTGTTGACAGGTACTAAATGGATTAAATAGAAAGTAATCAGTTGAGGAATGACAATTTCAAGAAATTTCACATTTTGTCTTGAAAATACTGGAGCTGTTGGCTGGGTGCAGTGGCTCACACCTCTAATCCCAGCACTTTAGGAGGCCGAGGCGGGTGGATCACCTGAGGTCAGGAGTTTGAGACCAGCCTGGCCAACATGGTGAAACCCTGTCTCTATGAAAAACACAAAAATGAGCCAGGCGTGGTGGCTCACATCTATAGTCCCAGCTACTAGGAAGGCTGAGGTGGAAGTATTGCTTGAACCCAGGAGGTGGAGGTTGCCACTGCCCTCCAGCCTGGGTGACAGAGACTACGTCTCAAAAAAACAGAGAGGAAAAGAAAATACTGGAGCTGTCAGGAACAGTAAAAATAATCTTATCCATTATCAAGAAAAAGGAAGCAATTATGCATATTCTCAAAAGTAAGAGTCAGAAGAGTTAATTCTCCGTATCTTCTCTATATTAGATTAATCTTGAATCTGTATTTCAGATGTAAATTACACTTCCTCCAATAAATTCAATTTTATGGATATAGATGTACTTCTCTTCCAATCTATTCTTAATTGCTTGAAAACCACACCTCATTTTGCTGACCACACATATATACTGTGAACCCCTTTGTCAGCTCCCTGAGGTGATCATCACCATTTGGGGACTCCTGCCTGAGGAATGAGTGACTGCTCCAGTGGAAAGAGGTCTGACTTAGACACTCCAAGACCAAGAATCAAGTCTAGCTCTGTCCCTAACTAGATGTGAACTTGCAGACAAATCACATGGCCTCTCCAGTTCCGTATTCAGTAAAGGCACAAAATTAGATTTCTTTTAGCTCTAGAATTCTGTCCTTGGCTAACTCTGATGAACAAAAACAGGGGTTCCTTCTGCATGAAAACACTGGGCCTACTGGGAAGAATGTTGACTCTGGGGACTGGAGACGGAGCCAGGGACTCTGGAATCGAGCAGACAAATGCCAGGGGCAAAGACTACCACTCAATTCCCAGGAATTTCCCTGGATGGATTTCAGATAGAAGGAGATATTCCTGGTTTTATCCCGGAGCACACACAGGGGATTGAGACAGTTGGACACTTTGGGTTGTGACACTGGATAGACCTGTTTGTTGTCCTCTGAGTCAGCCAAGGATACTTTCATAGAGAGAGGACAGTTGTTCTTTTTTTTTTTTTTTTTTTTTTTTTTTGCTTGTTCATATTTTAATGCAGGAAGAGTGAGACTACCCTTTGAGGAGCTCAATAAAGAAAGATACATATGGTGAAAAAAATACCCATATCCCATCCCAGTGGCAATAGAAGCTACTTGCTGGGTTCTTGCACTCCCATAGGCTGTGACAGGAGCAGAGAGTCAACATGTGCACCAACAGCAATGTCTGACCCCTTGGAAGGTCTGTGTTGAGAAGCAAGATAGTAGCAGCAACAGAAGCAACTGCAACCAAAGAGATGGACCCAAGAATATTTTCACAATTCCAAAGGCAACATAGGAGTCATCGGATCCCAGCCACAGGAAGAGAGGAGATTTGCAGGTGAGGAAAGAGGGGTGTCAGTGACTTGGTGCATGGATGATTCATGCAAATGCTTGTTCTCATTTCCCCGTAATTATTATTTGTGATTCACCTTCCCTGGGTTCCTGGGGCCTGGTACAGAAGGGATTTTTGCTAAAGCCCATGTCTCCTCCTGCCACCCACTGGCAGAGCTTTGCCATCCACTGTTGCACTTCCAGCCTGAGGGTGGCACCTCTTCTACATTCTAGGACTTGCCTCTGATTTCAACATCCAAGAGAGAATTTGTTCTCCTGATTTGAACATGGGCGTCAAGGTGGCTAGAGCCAATTTTGTTCTCATCACCTGAAGAAAATACCAGTATGTGTGGCCTTTCTATGCCTATATGGCAGATCCATGTACTCAGCAGCTGAAATGTAGAAGGAAGTGAGGAATTACCCAATTCACCCAAAAATGTTCTATGTATGTGCTATTTCTAGAAGCCTCTTTTCCTGCAACTTGCTAGTTACTTTGGTATTACTCTGTATGTCTGTAATGACAACCCTTACAAGGGACAAGAATTTCCACTCTCCATTATTCATTTTATACATGTCACCCCGTTTCATTTTCAACATAACCAGGCAACACAGTGTTATCTTAGTTTTACAAAAGTGGAAACCGAGGCCCTGGGAGATAAAGTGCCTTCCCTAAGAAAGGGAGCTGACAATCATACCAAGTTCTCCTGATTCCAGGGCCTGTGGCCTCCTCCCACCCCACAGTAGGCCAGAAACCAAATGACCAAGAAGAAGGATCATGAGCCACTGCAGTGACGATGGTAAGGGCTTACAGGGGAGATGATCAAGACTGAGAAATGATCTGAGCTGAAGGATGGCTTTCAGAATTTTCCAGAATGCTTGAAAATTCTAACTGGAATGCTGCTTCTGCCACCTGACTGCATGCCTGACACCCCATACCCCACAGCTCAGAGCTCCTTTCAGCAAGGGGCCCTGCAGCATCCCACAGAGATTCCCACTCTGCCACCTGTTCAGAGGACTCCTCTGGTCTCTGCCAGTTTCCCTGAAATGACTGCATATCCTGAGGCCCCATTGCTGCATCAGCGAAATGGAAATAATAATACCAATAGCCACTACACAGGACTGATGTGAAAAATGAATGTGTGAACACAGAAAAAGCATAGTACCAGACACGTGGGAGGGGATAATATGTTTTGGTTTGGTTTTGGGTGACAGCCATGTGGCAAGAGGAGGCAAGCATGGAGTTGGGGGTCAGACAGAATCTGCATCAAGACCTAGTTCTCACCTTTCTCACTGTTTGGTCTTGGGCAAGCCCCTTAACTTCTCTGGACCTCAGTTCCAGCCTTCCTTCCACCCCTGTTCCATTATGAATCCCACCTCCAGCTCCAGGACTAATTCACTGGCAAAACCCAGTCTCCTTGCCCAGGGGGGATGGGGAGAAGCTGCTGGCCAGATGGAAGAACACAGTCCAGAATTGAAATCACAATCTCAACTCGTCTTGCCAACGTGAAGCATGTAACTTCTGTTCGCAGGTCAGAAGAGTAAAACTGTCCATGCTGGCTAGACATGAACAAGGAGGCTGCCATCCTATGCGCAGCTCCTTACATGGCTGACAGCCGTCTCGTGAGCATGTCGGAAGTCAGACTTGGGATGATGACTCTAAGGAGGCCAGAGAGGCAGGTGGAGCCAAACCAGGGGATATATTGTGGAGCCACTGAATCCAGCCCCTCCTGAAGCCAACCCATCGCTGGCCCTTTCAGTTACAGCAAACAATTAAAGCCCTGTTTTGCACAAGCCAGTTTGGGCAAGTTTTCTGTCAGTTGCAAGAAAGATGCTCCTTACTTATCACCTTACACTGTAACACATTTCCAATTTGAGCCAGAATTTTTGGCAATTGTGTCTGTTTCAAGAAGACTATCCTCAGCTCAACTGGGACCCATCTAAATCATCTCAGAGGAAAACTCAAAGCCCCCAGACCTTCAAGGTACTCAAGTCTCCCTCTCTTGCTTTCTTTGCTGCCCAGGTGCATAAAGTGTGTCCCAGAGTCTAAAGATAAATATGCATCTGCTATGATCTGGATTCTCTCAAAATTCATGGGTTGGAATCCTCACCCCCATGGTGATGGTATTAGGAGGTACAGACTATGGGGTTGTTGGGTCATAATGGCAAGACCATAAATGGGATTAGTGTCCTTATAAAAGAGGCCTGAGAGACACTCCTCATCCATGGGAGGACATTGCAAGAAAGGACCACCTGTGAACCATAAAGTAGGCCTTTTCCAGATAGTGAATCTGCCAGTACCTTAATCTTGGATTTCTCAGCCTCCAGAATGGTAAGAAATACATTTCTGTCACTTATAAACTATGTAATAGGCCATTCTTGCATTGCTATGAAGAAACCCCTGAGATGAGGTAATCTGTAAAGAAAAGAGGTTTAACTGGCTCACGGTCCTGCAGGCTGTATAGGAAGTATGGCACTGGCATCTACCCAGCTTCTGGGGAGGCCTCAGGAAGCTTTCAATCATGGCAGAAGGCAAAGAGGGAGCCAACATATCACATGGCCAGAGAAGGAGCAAGAGAGAGAGTCGGGGGTGAAGGAGGAGACCTTGCAAGAACTCACTCACTATCGTGAGGACAGCACCAAGCCTGAGGGATCTGCCCCTATGACCAATCACTCCCATCAGGCCCCACCTCCAACCTTAGGGATTACATTTCAACGTGAGTTTTAATGGGGACATATATTCAAACTATATTCACTACCAAGTCTGTAGTATTTTGTTATTGTAGCCTGATTGGACTAAGGATCAGACTCTGTTTTCCACTCAGAACCCTCCATAAAACAGACATCACTGTGAGTAATATGCTCTTTGGCTCCTCTACCACTTTATTTGTTAGCTATTGCTGCATAAAAATGCCCCCGCAACATGACTAACTTAAAAGAGTGCACACTTATTACCTGAGGGATGTAGGAGCAGTTCCTCTGGGTGGTTCTGGCTCAGTGGCTCTCATGGGGCTGCAGTCACCTCAAGACTCACCCAGTGCCAATGGAGCTCCTTGAAAGCTCACTGAGATAGTTGCTGACAGAATTCAGCTCCTTATTGGCTGCCGTCCGGAGTCTTCAGCTCCTTGACACATGAGCTCCTCCACAGCTGCTCACAGAAAGAGAGAGAGATCCTAAGAAGAAGCCATACTCATTTATAACCTAATCTTGAAAGTGACACACCACCATTCCTGTCATATTCTAATTGGCCACACAAACCATCCCTGGTACAACGTGGAAGAGGGTTACATTGTGTGAACACTGGGTGTGAATAGCAGGAAACGGGGGCATCTTGAAGGCTGCCTGCTACAACCTCCATGGGGCCTTCCTGGCCTTCACTCTCCTAGTCTAGCCATTTCACTGAGTTTTCCTTCTCTCTCCTTTTCACTCAGCTCTTCCCTCAAAGCAGTGGTCTCTCTTCCTTAATCCGTTCATCTGTCCATGTCTACGAGGTCTCTCCTGCCCCAAGCAGACATTCCCAAAGGCAGTTCTCTCTCAAAAAAAATGATCAGTAACTCTTTTTAAAAACAGAATGTTTTTATCCTGTTCTCTCTCTTTCTCTCTCACTATCACTCTCTCTATATATAATATATATATTATATATAGATCACATATATTATAATATATATTATATATACCAAAGAGGACAATAATTGAACAAAAGGTGTTTTACCAGGTAAAGAATGGCACATAATATGTGACATAAAGAATGGTAAGAAATAAAGGAGTTAAAAAGAGTATGCCATAGAAAATCCTTTATTTAATATACACATTATATATCATTGGAATCCACCAAAAAAAGTATTAAAAATCATTCTGTATTCCCTAAATACATCTGGATTTATGTTAAAACAAAAATGATATATCACAGATAAAATGCAAAACATTTAGTGATGGAAACAAATGAATACATATCACTTAATTCTTTCTGGAAAATTGGGATATTCAGTGCACATCCACCTCCTTAAAGACGACCCAAACAAAAAAAATCACGTTATAACGAAAAATCTATCAAACTGCTCGTCACTGAGAAATCCTTCTTAATTGCACAGGGAGGAATGGCAAATGCACTTATCTTCAGAAGTTGTTAGAGCATTGAGATAGAAAGGAAAGAGGAGACAATCGCTCTTTCACAAAGATCCATCTGTACCATTTTTGGCCCTTGCTATGCTTTTCCTTTCAAATTTCCTATTCAACTTTTTCTTATCTATTGCACAGTAGTCAATGACCAATGTCCTATGAGTTCGTGAGCCTTTCACGCGATCAGATAGCCTCTAATGGAGTCGTGTGTGACTGCTACCACTCCATCTGACCACACTGAATTGCCGTCAGCCTGCTCACCTGTTGGGACCATCACCATGCACCATGTGCCTTGGCAAACTGTTTTTGGTATTGGCATTTAAGAAAACACATGGATGAGAGCTTTACATTTCTATTGTTTAGAATATTCCTATGTTTGGGCATCTACATTAGGAATTGGCTATAATATCATAGTCTTTTATGATAACAGAGCCATCTCCTCTGCTTCCACTTATTTATCTCACAACAGCCCAGTGAAAAAATGGGAGTTAGAATTGCCAGTCAATGGTCAAAACTATTCCCTTTTATGCCTGCAGACACCACTAGACTGCAGTATCCCTTGTATCCCTTGCACTTGGGTGTGGCCATGGGACTGAGCCACTTTCTGGTCCACAGAAACCTCCCACAGGAGTTTTCCACGCTCTTTCCCCTTACACAGCAAACCTGTGGAGGTGGAGGAGCTACAGATGAAAGGGCCTTCACTTTCTAAATTACCACAGAGACTGGAACTACCTGCCAGTTAGGAAGACCCCTTCTGAGAAAAGAAAAAAAAAAAACTGTTGCATCACACTGATATGTTTGAGTAGCTAGATATGTGGGGGTTTTCTGTTATAAAATCTAATGTTACTTAATGCGTACTTCTCCAGTGTTTCATTATTAACACAACAGTTTCATATACTTTATCTCATGTTGGAAAGCTAGGAGTTAGTATTTTTGTTGCACACCCCCTCCTTTTCAAATTGGGCATACTAAGGCTCAGAGATGCTACATAATGTACCCAAAGTCACACAGTTGGGAAGAGGTGGAATTCGATATTTTATTTAGGTCTAGTCAGACCCAACCCTATGGCCTTTCAACTCGATCACGTTAATTTCACGGAAGTTTAGTGATCACATTGGTCTTAACGTTCCAGGTTATTTTGCAGGTGTTGTGCAGAGGGAAATAATTAACCAGGACGCATTTGCTATTGGTATTCTTCTGGTTCCAAGTTTAAGTCTTAAACCACGTTCACTCACTTGCTCACTGCCTGCAGTGACGGGAGTTTTCCATGTTGGCATGCGTCTTGTGTCCTTCTCTTCCGCTTCCTCCCCTGGGGTGGGCTGTCCACGTGCACAGTGGCTTCTGAGCACTTGAGACGGGAGCACGTGCAGGGTGTTTACTGGAGTTGCACGCACGTTTAGAAGCAGTCTTCTCTCACCGGTGGAATGACCCTAGGAGGCCATCTACAGTTAAGCGCCGCCATTTTGCCTCTTAATGCGCATGCGTGGGCCCCGCCCAACTCCGCGCATCTTAGCGGGAAGCTGCTAGTCTCCGTTTTCAGGTGTCTGTATTGGGAGACTGCCTTTCCCTGGTGCCGGCTGTGAGCAATCATTATTTTAGAGGGACAGCTAACCGCGGGATCATCACCGGATGGTCGGATCATCACCGGATGGTCATCTGACATTCTTGGT